ACTAGAGCAAACAACAGCCTGGATTTTACAAAGTCAGGCCTTCATCAACATCCTCCTACATGAACTTCAGCTGCGCGATTAAAGACTAGCACTCAGCAACAGATACTGCTCTCCACTCATCTGTATGGCTTGTTTACTCTCACGCTACTTACAAGAAACTTATTCTACTTCCTTTCCTGACTTCCTTTATTTCTTTCTTTCTATGCAGACATATACTTTATCATTCACGCTGTGCACGTTATGCACTCATTATTAGACATGAAAAGCAAAGCATGCATTTCTCCTTTTCAAAAGCTGTAGCCCATGCACAGGCCCTTCACAGGAATTTAATCAAAGATGAGCTTCCTCCACAATAAGAGTTATTATGTAACCCCATTAGTCTAGGAAGGGGAGGTATATTGTTGCATGCAAGGAACTTGAAGTGCAAACATTCCAGTCTGAATGAGGGGAAATCAGAGTTACACAAACACAATTTCACAAAATAAGCAACTCCACTCAGCAAAAAAGCAAAGTCAGTTAACAAAATCCGGTGTATCTGTACACTGTGTGCTCAAACTGGGCTGGCCACTTTTGGCTTTGAGAAGAACACAATTCTTTACTTTCCACTGAAAAAAAAAAATCTATGGTCTCCTAGCAGATCTTAGCACTGCCTTCACTGAAGAAACCAAGTTGCCAAAAATACGGATGTAAAAAAAAAACTGCTATATTTCCATTTCTGTTGCTCTTAATGATAAACTATGTTCAGGGTCAGTGTTGAATAATCTGTGTGTTTAAATGTATTGTATAGTGTGATGTACAGCAATGCTATTCTTTATTATTATTGGTATTTTGTTTAATATTGTCGTTTGTACAAATTGCCAATGCAAATAGGCCTCTTAGTTTTAGCAGAGTCATAGTTGACTCTGAACATGGTTCTTGAAATATCTCCAGTAGTCTATATTTTATACTTGTAAACCCACAAGCAGACGGAATCATGGGAAATGTGTCTGAAACTAGAGAAATAATCCAGTAAAGTCATATGAGCCACGTAGCTTTGCGCTGATACTGTTATATCTACTTGCACATTATTTTGCCCACCAATGTCCTGTTAACAATGTTCTAATCTCATTACAGTTGTATGCAAAAGTTTAGGCACGCCAGGTCAAATGACGTCTTGTTGATTTTCTGAGTGAAAATAGGTTAGCAGAACATAAAATAAATACATGCCATTTTCTGTCTTTTACAATAGCTTAAATTCAACAAATGAACAGTAATTGTACATTAAATGTGCAGAAGTGTGTACTGTACTTACTTTCACTTAGAAAATCAACAGAACATGTTATTTGATCAGGGGTGCCTAAACCTTTGCATACAACTGTAAGAAGATCAGTACATTGTTGACAGGACATTTCTGGACTTTTTTAGACAGCGTAACTAAATGTGAACTGGATGTAAAAATGATGAAGAGAATGTAGTTCTGTTAAATGCCCACTACAGGGTGCACCAAACCAACTTTGGTAGAGCCAAGTGTCCAGCGTCAAAACCCTGTTTGACTGTAAAATGCACCTCAAAGAAACAAACATTGACTTTATTGAAAATCCTTATGTTTCACAGCAATGTATATATATATATATATATATATATATATATATATATATATATATATATATATATATATATATATATATATTATATATTTCTGTATATTTCACATGTACACTGAATAGGCATTTCTTGAACTGTCTTTGCTTTTTGTCTGTTTACAGTATCTTGTTTTAATTGCTCAACTCACATGTTGGACTGGATATTTGAAGCGTCTTCGCACATCTCCAAATTCCCATGCAGAGTTTCTCCACGTCCCGGTCAAAATACCTGGAAATCAGGAATTTGTTTATTAACTACACCGCCATGAGGCCCTGACCTAAAAAAAACTCATCACAGCAAAACACTAAAATTATGGAAACTCGTCTTCCTGTTTCATGATTAGATGCTGACATTTTTAAAAACTCCTACGCTCTTAAAAAAGATGGTTCTTCAAGGGTTCTTTAGTAAAGGGGTTTGGTTCTATTTAGAACCATGAGTTTTATATAGAACCATTTCATGGTTAAATGGTTCTTTGCTTTAGACTGATGAAGAATGTGTGGTATATTTTGAAAAGGGTTCTGTATAGACCCAGATACTACACATTCATTATAGAACCATATAATACACAGGATGCTTTTGAAAAGAGTTCTGCTACTGTTACAAGCTTGATATCGTAACAATACAAGAACCTTTTTGGTGCTACATAGAATTATGTTCAAAAAGGATCTATACAGAACCATATACAACACATTCTTCATCAATCTGAAGACAGATTTCACCATGCAGAGAACCATTCAAGCATGAAATGGTTCTATGTAGAACTCATGATTCCTTCACTGAAGAACCCTTGAAGAATCATCTTTTTTTAAGAGTGTACACTTCACATAAATGAGGAATTCTCATGCATGAAGTTCAAATGCTTTGATGACTTGCAGTTCGCTCATTTCAAAACGTTAAAGAAAAGCTCTCACACAGGAAACTCAAACCATTCTGCAGTGCAATATTCTCCTTTGAGGAAGTGCATAAAACTGTCAGAAGAGGTCCAGGAAGCTTACACTGACATTTGTATCCATATGTCTAATGTTAGTACAGAGCCTCCAGCATCACCTGTTTGAATTCACTTTAGCGTCATTTCCTGATAAATATAAGGAAAGGTTTTACTGTGTTTAAAAGAACGTCACTAATATATTAGCCATTAGCTACCGAAATTGTGAATGACAAAATGAGCCTTTGAAAAAAGAAGCACTCTTTAGCTAACCTCCCTTAAAACTGCGGCAAGCGTAGCTGTGACGCAATACAGCTCAGTTGTACCGTTTTATCAACACACGCTCACAAGTGGATTAAAGATCAATCATTCTCATTTAATTTGTGCCCCAGGGTTCAGTAGTCGGCACACAAATCAGTATAGGACCTGATGAAGCTCAGTAAATGACAAAGCCTTGTTTTACCACTCGTAGAATAGTGTGAAGTCTTATATAAAGTCATTTTCAACAGCATCTATATTATCTGATATTGCACTTTGAGGTCTTTTGATTTTCTACCTTCATCTGTATCCAAGACCTGCACTCAAGCTGGCAAGAAGACTGTTATGTTCTCTGCTTCCTCTGTGTGGAATGGCCTCTAGAAGACCTTAAGACTACAGGGTTTAATTATCCTCACAGTCCTACCTTCATCAGGCAATCATTATAGCGATTCAAGAGTGGAGTGCTGGGTCAGATATCAGTAGGGTGTAATGAAGTCTCTTCCTTGGTAAGAGTGCGTCTCAAATACTGTCACAAATATTTACACAAGATATTGTTTTCCTCAAATCAAACAGGGTTAGCCTTTAATATGTTAAAAGTACTGAAAGGTTTTCCCTCTCAAAAAAAGTGTCTTTAAGCTATAATCACATTTTCAGAGGAGTTCAAGTCAGGTAAAGACGATGTGTAACCATTTAACAAGAAGTAATTTTTGCATCTGGGTGATGGCCAGTAGACACAGGCCAGCCTAAAAAATTCTGTCAGATTTGAAAGTTTGAGTCGGTAATGATGGTTTCTACCAAGTACTGAGCATTCTGTTCTGCCAGTGCCCCAGCTGGTACATCTTGTGGTGTGTGAGATGAATGAGAACTCATGTGGACCGTTGCCCAGCTTTACACAATGTGCTCACTCCAGTTTATCACATTATGGCCTGACCGTTAGGCCAGTAAGGTGACTGAGAGCTGTGTTAGGCTGAGCACAGTGAGAACAGTAAATCTGGCTTAGTGTTATGTTGAGCATAAAAACACCAAAAGGCCCCGAAGACCATGGAAAGATCACTGAAGACCATGGAGAACAGGATTTTTCTGTGGTGGATGACAGACGAATTTGTTCTCTGATGAAGAAAAAACCCTCCACAACGGTTGGCCAGATCAAGAACACCCTCCAGGAGGTAGGCGTATCTGTGTCAAAGTCAACAATCAAGACTTCACCACAGTTAATATAGAGGGTTTACCACAAGATGTAAACCAATGGTAAGCCTTAAAAACAGGAAAACCAATTTGAGCTTTCCAAAAAACATCTTAAAAAGGCTTGTATGGTTCTGGAGCAAAATATTATAGACAGATGACACAAATATCAACTTGTACCAGAATGATGGGAAGCAAAGAGTATGGAGAAGTGGAGGAACTGCTCATGATCCAATACATACCACCTCATCTGACAAGCATGGTGGAGGTAGTATTAGTAGTGGGCATGTATGGCTGCTAATGAAACTAGTTCCCTTTGATTATGTGACTGCTGACAAAAACAGCAGGATGAATTCTGAAGAGTATTGGGCTATACTTTATGCTCAGATTCAGCCAAATGCTTCAAAACTCATTGGACGGCGCTTCACTGTGCAGATGGACAATGACCCTCAAGACTTTTTTAAGGCAAACAAGTAAATGTTCTGCAATAGTCAAACCAATCACCTGACCACAATCCAATCAAACATGGATTTCACTCACTTAAAGAAAAACTGAAAATAATACACCCCAAGAATTAGCAAGAACTTAAGACAGCTGCTGTGAAAGCCTGGCAGAGAACCACCAGGGAAGAAACCTAGCATCTGGTGATTGTCTATGGGCCAGACTTCAGGCAGTCATTGACTGCAAAGGATATGCAACCCAGTATTAAACATGACAATTTAATTTATGATTGTTAGTTTGTCCTATGATTTTTAAACCAATAAAAATGGGGGCTATGTATGAAAATGATTGCAAATTAAAGCTGAAAGCTTTTTGAGCACATATTATTCACTTATACTCCAATATGCTGTGGAAGAAAGCTAAAATAAATGTCATGTCCAAATATTTATGGTCCTGACTGTAGACTGAGAGAATCCTACTTAAAACTTGGACACCTGACATGTCTTAACAGATCGTCCACTTTTAGAGTAAGGGGAAAACGTTTAAACTATTGCTTTCTAATGCAGACTCCCAATAGTTCAGCAGATTAATAGCACACAGGGCATCTTTTTATGCTGCCTATTAACATTGACACAACATTTTTGGTCTTAAACCATACTGCAATATAATGAGAACGAAACAAAAATCATCTGGTTAAGTACAGGTTTTTACTTTCATAACCATGTTGTCTGCAGAACAGAATGCAACATAATGCAAGAAACTGAAAGAACCTCTTTGTTTTCCAGCAGCAGGTGCAGCATTTATCTACAGATCATAATAACAAATTCAATGGCAACTTATAAGGTGCTTAATAAGAAAAAATGGAATGTTAACATACAGCTTTTAAAAGCATATTTCTTATTCATATATATTCATACCATTCTTAATATTATATAAAACAAATCTAAACAAAAATAGAGCCGAATATTTACAGAGCAGAAGGAAATGGTACTTATGTACAAAAGACAGCTTTTGTTGATGTGCCCAATACATATAAATTACAATGTTCAGAACGTCCTGGTTTTTGAACTGACTCGCACTGATGAGATCATAATGCTGCCATTTGCAAGAGCTGTGCTTTAAACTGCTGTGCCCGGTGTGAAAGGTCCGTGACGCGGTCCACCATTTCCTGCACAGCGGCTGTGTTTGGGTAATGAAGGGCGGCCATCTTGGTGGCGCCCACCACCGTCTTGAGCATCTCGCAAAGCACATTACTGGAGTCCATCACCCGGTTGGCCACTTCGGGCGTCGAGGCCTGTCGTGATAGAGTGTCCCCAATAAACACAAGCTTGTGAGCACTGAGAATGACGAATTTGGCGTGTGCTACGAAGATTCGCGGAGGTTGTCCAGCTGCCACACAACCGAAAAACGCATCCACGGCATTCAGCAGAGTCACAAAGTGCTGCTCGCACTGCTCAGCGTAGAAGCCTAGCAGCTGGCGGTCCCGCCCACACAGCTGAGCCCCGCCCCCCACAGAGGAGGTGGAGGAGGAGTCTGAAGGGGAGGAGGAGCCTGTGGAATGTTGATGGGAGATCCACTGGGTGATGTCATTCTCTACAGGTTTGATCACCTCCTGCTCCAACTGCTTGAACTGGTTCAACTGTGAGAGTGAGAAGAGAAGAAAGTTAAAGAACTAATAAAATAATATTTTTATGCTATTAGTAAAGAAAATTATCATAGGTGTTTGTAGTATTATGGTACTAAAATGTTTAAAAAGCAACAGCACACACTGCAATGTTTTTACTGCAGACATTATACTGACAGACTTTTTATTGACTCTAAGACACCTGTACTATTGCTGTTTACTGTTCAGATGATAACTGTGGCCATTGTCACACTTGTATTAACAACTATCTCAAGAGGTCTGATCATAAGTGGACAGAGGACATACAGCCGTTAGCACCGGCCATTTCCATGCGTGTCGAATGCGTCTTTGGTAAAAGCATGTCACTGGATTTTGTGACAGGAGGAAGAGTACCACACAGGTTTACTACATCAGTCTGTACAGTGAGTCCTTGTTCATGTAATTGTCCAAGATTAAGAGGGTGCTAGGACAGTGTTATTTGGCCATATGCGTCCCTGGTTTGAATGATTTGCTCACAATACATTTCTGAGATGCACTCACACCTCTACTTAGCACTGTCCACTCATGATTGGATAAACCAGAATGCACGTTAATGTAAACAGAGCCTATAAAATGTGTTATCCTGGCATTTGGACTGTAGGGAGAATATAGCAGTAAGGTTTTATGACCTCAATTCTGTAGGTATTACTGGCTTATCTCTAATGCTGTTCAGCTGCAATGCAAATGAACATTGTAAAAAGGGAACTGAATGAAAAATGCTGATATTAACCCTGTTTCTTTGAACAACAGAAGCTTCAACATGATTTTTAAAGGTTCTCCAAGGTTCACTTTCTCTGTGCCGCAGAACAGCAAGAAGTGCGTGAAAAGCTGTGTCATGCTACATGTTTAACCTCTAACTGATCAAATCTCATGACTTTATGCACAGGCGATGCCAAACCAATATTTTCAAAGATGAGTCAAATATCAGTCATATGCGTACCTGTTCCTGCCCCAGCTGGACTTTGCTCTGCTTCATGATGTTTTCCTTGTCTAAGAGCTCCTTCTGCTGACGCTCAAATTCTTCTTTACCCTTTAAAATGAAAAAAGAGTGTCAGCTGATTGTTATACTTGGAAGAAAAACTTGCAGATGCAACCACTATACTTTTGTGTCTGAAGTTCAGACAAAGTTCAATGTATCTATAGTTCATTATACATCCCCAAATTAAAAACAGTCAGACAGTGGTTTGTATTGCACTTATTTGCTTTCTAAAAACCTTAAAACTAAGTGTTCCTTACTGACTCGTCTTACAGTGCAAACTTCAAAAGACGGTCACTTGTTCCCTGTCCTTATTCAACCTCCTACTTCAAAAATAACTCTTGATGTCAGTCAGTGATCTTTAAACCCAAACGAATGTCAGTATAAAACAGTCATATGTGAGTGATCTCCCAAATCTTTGCCTTACAGTTACATAGATGGAACAGAGAAGGAGAGATGGGTAGAGTGCAATGTAACAGACGTACTGTTGCTTTTTGATGGCTGTATCATTCATACTGAAGCCACTTTTTGTGTAAAGGTGCGGTGCTCCAACTCTGCAATGTCACATAAGGTGACCATGAAACGTGTCCATGAAACGTGCATCATGTAATGTTTTAAATTGACCTTTATAAACAGAATTTTAAGTTTTGGGAATGTATCTTAGAGGAGGGGCAAAAGTGGGGTTAAAAAAATGTTCATCAAATACTTTTCTGGATTACATTTAGGCTTTTCCTTATATCAAACATATTCTTTCTTTTCCTTCGCTAGGGCACAGTGGCAGAGCTTAATGGAGACCTGTGTTGTCGTATATTAATGCAAATGTCTGGTTACATTTTCATTCTTCAATTTCAGGCTGGTAATTATGATCAGGACTAGTAATTATGATCAGTGAGTGTTTTCCTCCCACTCGGAAGCTCATAATTCCTGTGAAAGGCCAAGCAGCAGCTGCACGGAAAACAGAGCTGTTATTAAACTAGTTCTAACCTGCAAATGGACGTAATCGTAATCCTCCATCCAGCTTTTCACACACTTCTCGCTGTCCTGTGGCACAGGGAAAGGTTTGGTCTGGCAGCTGTGGTTGTCCTCCTCCGCCGGGGAGCAGGTGAAGGGGTGAACGACGCCCTCTACTGGTGGCCTTCGGAACAGCAGCTCTGCGCTGCTTCCTATCGTTGATGCTAACTGCTTGGCATCATCTGGCACTGTCCGTGCCACCATGACAAAGCGGTCCAAGTCATCGCTTTTGCCTTGCTGCTTGCCTCCTGCTGCCAGGACGTTGAGTGCCCAGCCACTGTTTTCTAGGCTCTGGTGAGTCTGCTGCAGGATCTGCTGTGAGTCTTCTAGCCTCTGCAGCTGCCGGCGCAGCTTCGAGTGCAACCCTGGGTCGGACAGGGCCGTGGCGTTGGTGGCTGCCCCTCGTCCGAAGGCCAGGATTTCAGCCAGGGTGCTACGCACACGCTCCAGTGTCAGACGCACTTCATTGCCATGGCGTTCCATGAAGGCATACGTCCGCCAGTTGGGTGAGGCGACGAAGCTCTGGAGGGCAGAGACAGAAGTATCTAGGCCTTGCTGTAGGCGGCCGAGCCGCTGCAAGGCGGAGTCCAGGTCTAGCGCTAAACGACCCTCAGCTGGCGACCCTGCTGAAGAGGAAGAAGTAGACATGCTGCTGCGCGTGCTTCCGGTGCTGGAAAATGAAAGGCGATTCATGCCATCGGTTACGTCGGCCAGTGAGCGTGAATCTGTAGGTGGGACGTCATAGATGCCCTTGTTGCGATCCCGCTGTGGCAGCCCCTGTGGAACATCATAGAGATCTCGGGATCCTGCCATGGCTGGCTGGCTAGCAGGAACATCATAGATGCTGTTGTCGCTGTTAGCAACCATGCGGTTTTCCGGAGGAAAGTCATAATTGGACTGGGAGCACTGGGTAGATTTGGAGACGAATGATGGTGGAACGTCATATATGCCCTCCGGCTTCTGTTTGTGAGGTTGGGGAAAGTCGTAGTTGCCTTCATCTTGTGCAGCATTATTCCTGCAAGGTGGGATCGAATACACCTGCAGAAACAAGAGCTACATCAAAACTACCATTCCCACAAAAAAAAGCAGCAAAAAGCTTTAGATACGAATTTCAGTCTCCACTTAGCATTTAAAATGCCTTGCTGACAGTCTAATGTCTGCAAGCTGATATTTAATGCTCTCCCACAAAACGGATATGGAATTCCGATGAACATTCTGACAACCAAGCATTTAAAAAACCCCAGAGCTGATTTGAGCATGCAGCATGAGTCCTGACGTACATGGGGCATACCATGAGCACGTAGATCAACAAATAATAGGAGCAGGCTTTAAGTGATTTCACTCAGGCTTGAAATCTGCTTTTTACAGCGAGTCAAACCTCTGCAAACCCCTAATTAAATATGACGCAAATAACAGGTTCCCAGCATACTTTAATTTATTACAAACAAACTCGCAGCACTGGACTGTACTGTATGTAAAGTAGTGAAACATAAGAGGGCCCAGAAAGCAGTTATTTCAGTCTTTAACATCCCTCACTGCAGAGTTCAGAGCACAGTTCTGGGTCTGACTTGATCACTGCTGGCAGGCAAGGCTTTAATTTAGTAACCAGGGGAAACTAATAAAAATGAAATTATTTATTTTCTCCTACTTGTGACCCTGCAATTTAGGGAAAAGTAGCACTGTGTTAATAGATACAGAGAACAAAGAAGGCATTCAGATAAGATTTCTTTTAAAGTGCTAAGCCAAGGCAAATGCAGCATTTTACATGCTTTTAAACATCTTTCTGCTGAGTTGTTTTTGAATGGAAAACATTACTAATGAACTAGGATGTATTGTTGAATGTGGAGATTGCTTGACTAGAACATACCCCTTGTGATGGAGGAGGGATGTCATACACCCCCTGATTCCGTGTGTCCTGTGCCGGAGGGATGTCATATAGACCCTGGCCATGAGGGCTCATGTGCTTTCCTATCTGTTTCCCAGGTGGAATATCATAAACCTGTGAAACCTACACAAAGAAGCAACACTGTTTTAGAATCCATCCATGCTGATTCCAGTAGGGCCTCATACTGTACATTGATGGGAATACAAAATGATGCCTACCCCCTGTTGTCGAATTGGTGGCACATCGTACAGGTCTTGAGAGTTGTTGGGTGCAGGGCTGTAGGCATATGTCTGTCCAACTCGTGTTGGGGTCAGCACCTGGTCAACACATGGATAGAAAACAAATTCATTAAAGCATCCACGCAAGAGCCTTGTCAAAGTATTATACAAGCTGAGGGTCTGTTTAGAGTTGGCCTTCTGCTGAGCATCTGTGAGAGATGTTTAACCCCTTAACCTTCCACATTTCATTACTCACTCTTATAACGTACTAATAGCTTAATTCTTTTCCATTATTTTCCATGCAGTTAGTAAACCTCTACTCTGTAGATCCTTTGCTAATAATAGCTCTATTACTCAATATTTTCCAAATGTAACATTTAGGGATGGGAACAACTAACCAATCAATCATCAAAACATAATCGTTGAACAATAAACAGAAGTTCATATTAGAGTAGGCGGGTATATCTTTCAACTTTTTGAATTGTAGGCAATAGGTTCTATTAGACAGTCCTGCTAAAAAAATGAGGAAATAGTTGGAAGCGGCAAGAAATAGTGGTTTTCAGGACCACTTATTGAGAGGACAACACAACTACAACAACTTATCATATTAGAAGCAAACATTCCCAGTGATTAGACACAGAGCTATTTTGTCCATGTTCTCGGACAGAAAGTGTGATGTACAGTAGTGTGAGAAAATCACATGGGTGTATAAAAGAAAAGAACATGGTGGACAGTGACCTCTTTCAAGAACTACTGAGGTACACTGAGCCAAAGCTAGCCTGGCCTATATATATATGTGTGTGTGTGTGTGTGTGTGTGTGTGTGTGTGTGTGTGTGTGTGTGTGTATATATATATTTCCCACTCTTATATATTCCTGTCATTTTGTCATTTCGGTCATGTAATCATGAACATGTAGTTGTTGGGCCTTCAGGTCCTTACATAGCACATGTTTCAGGCTGTTTACTTCATATATACAATTGTACCTGGCTCCACCTATCAGTACTACATTCCATGTCCTATACAAGGGTCACTTTGTGATATCTCAGTGCATTAGTACACAATTTTGCCACAAATTGCAGACACAGTAACAATATGTCTCTAATGAATTACTACTCATTTTGTTTTTTGCTGTGGTCATTTTATGTGTATATAGGTGTTTGTGCATTAAAATGTGCTTAAAAGACCATCCTTAGGACACTACATTCACTCAAGATTAAAAAAAAACAAATCACCCAAACACAGTGCAGCCCACTTGGCGCCATGGCGAATCTAATCTGTTTCCCCTAGTGCCATTCTAACTTCATTAGAGCGCTGCTGGGACCTGCCGGGCTGTGTGTTCCAGTCCTCGTGTGACCCAGCTCTTTTCTGCAGCTCTGCCCAGCTCCATCTCAACCATTTGGGTCAAATCAGTTCTGACAGAAGTGACGGTTCTGCATCTTTAGAGGGGGGTGTTTCAGTGCTTCAGCCAGACTTTGTGTGGGATAGTTTCCAGACAGTGTGATGGTTTAAGGCACTGGGAAGATGGGGAGCATGAGAGTACCACTGGAGAGGAGATGAGGGGGGTGTTTAGGGGGCAATGCTGTCACTGTGACTCTCAGTCAGAGTGATGAGTTTGACGCGTCTGTAGAGGAACATGCTGAGAGAGAGTGACAGGGGAATCTGCTGTGAGAACTTTTGGGTGCATATGGGTGACTTGCATTTGGCTTGGATGTTGGTTTCATTCGTTCATTCTCCACTCTGAAAAAAGTGATGCACTGAATGTACCTGATTCAAATGTAAGTCATTTCCATATGAATCAGATACATATACAACACACATGCTCTTAATCTTGTCACAATTATTACGAAATCACCTGATAACAAATATTTGAGCTGATCACAGTTATTTAAGCTAACAGCAATTATTATTATTTTCCATGGCTGTTAGCTTTTCTAATTATATGTTTACAGTGCAACAAACAGAATGTGAATTGGATTTGTTTTCATTCACTGAGTTTAGGAAATTGCCTGTAAATAAAAGAAAGCAGAAAACATTTACTGAGACACATCATGGGTCTTGTGAAACAACAGAAGTTCTCATTTCTGGCTCAAGGTGCTATAACACCTTTAGAGGGCAGTGGTGAGAAATGTTTGTTTAAGCTCAAACTGTTTCTGTTGTCAGTTGGGAAAACTGACAACCAAAATAGCTATTTAACCCATTTGGCCACTTCAGGTTTTAATAGTAAATATATAAAGAACAAAAAAGATTATTAAATCATCAAGCAATTATTCATATGGCAGTTAAACATTATCGTAAGTTTTATAATGAAGACTGGCTTCATTGTTAAGTCTATATTTTGATTAATAATACTTTTTTACTTTTTTTTAATTACTTTTTTTTTCTCCATTGTACATCAGCTGTTATTTTAAAAACTGTTTTCAAAATTGTTAAAAACAAATATGGAGCCTTTTGGAATGAAACCCTTCATATATCTATATCATTCATATGCAAATGATGTTGAAATGGTGCTTCTCTTTTTTCAGTGCACTACTAGTTTGAATAACACATTAATGGATCTAAATGGATCTTGGCCTGGACATGTGGTTCTGGGGAAAAGAAATTATTGGTAAGGAACCTTCAAATGGGTTCACTCATTTCTTTGAAGAACCATCCATGAAAGGTTCTTTAGGTAACCAAAATTGGCATCTATGTTCTTCTATGGCATCACTTCCAAATCTTTATTCTTACAGTTGTATCTTCTTCACATCCTTCTGTCTTGATTCTCTTTCTCTCACTAAGCTACAGAGCTCTCTGCTGTGTCAGACAGACAGAAGAATGCTTGGAATTCTCCCCCTCTCATTCCCCACTCCATCTCACTCTCTCTCCGCCAACACACCACCGCTATCACCACACTGGAACACTCTGGGTTCACTGACAGGCCTTGCAAACACAAACCATACGTATGACTTCCTGTCCTTAGCGGAGAAATGCACTCCTCTCTTTTTTTAGATATGAGGGACAGAAGCTTGATAAAGCAGGTCAAACACCCACCATTCCTTTACAAATGACACACAGTGGAATCACTATGGAATTATACATAAATTGGCATATTCTCTTTCTTTCTCTCATACATATGCACCACAGCAGCAAAGACGAGCTGTCCAGATGGTATTAATAAACCTGATTGTCACGCTCTTGCTTTCACTGTGTGTGTTTAGGTGCACATCAACGGCATTCCTACATATAAATCATCACTAGGGAATGGTAGGGTCAACACAGATCACCAACAGGCCAAAGCTCCAGGCCTGTTCCCAGAGCTCTTAAATCACTCTCTGTCTCCAAGGCGAAACCAGGACGGGACAAAACAAAAACAGTAGACATCGGAGCTCCGTTTACACCCAAACCTGCAGATGGATGACTGGTTTTCCCTGCACAATCCAAGATACAATAATCATCCATTCTTAATCCTGTCTTACCAAAAGCCTCCTGAACAATATTCAGACAACATAATAGTCCTGTTTAACTCATTAAAATCTACTGCCAGTGTTGTTCCATGTCTACGCTGACCATAGCTATTGTGTTTTCTATCACTGTACAAAAGAAGCAATGCTGCCTTTAATGTTGGATGAACAGCAACTGCATGAAATTATGAAATTATTCTAATTGTGACTATAACAATAAAAGGTAATTGAACTGTGAAGTACGTACCTATTCATTTGTGTGCTTGCTCAAAATGGTAATTTGCAACAAACAAAAAAGCATCTATGAATTTTTGGCTTGGATTACACTCTTTACATGTTAGAATAAATGCAACAGCAGCTGAAAAATCACTATTTATTCAAAATCATAATTAAAAGAGTGGAGTAGATTAAAAGGCAGAATTAGCCACTTAAATGCTAGGCTTACTATTCTTAAGATGGATTTTTCCAGTAATTACTATGAAATGGGATGAAACAACTGACCTTATTGTATTGAACTATATCGCTGTATTGTGACTAGCATGTTAGCTTGTGGCTAGTGTGTTAGCTTGCTGCTACTATACTTTTATAACATTGAATTCTCAAATAAAATGAAAATGGACATTAACATATGGTACATTTTCAGCCACTCCTTATTTTTCCTGTATTGAGAAATGTACTGAACTGAGACACCACTGTATCATACCAAATCAAGTTCTTAAATTTGTGAAAGAGTACAGCCCTATTCAAACTAATATCTATGTTTTAGCTTAGAACTGTGAGTGAGAAAGTGACGTGTTGAGCCAAAGCACATCACATAAGGGGTTAAGAAGTCAATAAGAAAGAGGCTGGCCTGCAAAAAGAACCCCACACACGCAAATGGAGATTTTTATATGAGACACATGATGCTCAGTGCGAAGAGAGAGACAAACTAAGCATCTGTGTTGGATGCTTGTGGCCTGAAGAAGGTACATGTGAAAACCACCCAAGCTTGTGTCCGCTGCTCTGAACAGGTTCAGTGTTGAACACACCCAAAGGTTTGTCTGTGTATGTTACTACCAATATATAATAAGAATCTAAGCCTAAGCCTAAACCTAACCCCAACCTTAAACAAAGTAACTATTTTGCTGGCACTGGTATTGTAGAGTACCTCTATGCTTTTCTGGTTTTCCTACAAAGTCAGGACACACACATACATACAGACACATATATCAAACACTGCACATACGTAAACACACACATGAACTCTATTCCCTCTCTCACGTCTATGTTTCTTTACTTACCCTCCTTTAGCACTTCTCTGCCACTTGATGCTGCCAATAGTAAGGGTGTGTAAATATTGACCGGGCTGATGGAGCTGCTGACTGTTGCTACAATGCGATTAGGACCTGTGAGCTCACAGTGGCCGAGGTGACTGAGTAAACTTTCACCTCCCCTCAGGGGGCAGCCCCTCAGGATGCAGTTACACTAGAAGAGGGTGACTAAGAGGAAAGTCAGGCTCAAACCTGTGCTCCAATCGCTGAAGGTGTTGCTTGTTGCCAGAGGAGGAAAACAAAGTTGACAGACATAAAATGACTCATTATATTCATAAGTCATTTTTCAACATATCCAATTTAGCCTAGCACTGTGTATAAGTGGTGACTTCATCAAATTGCCCTGCA